TTTAAATCGACTTGAAAAATCATGGCGAAATATTAAACAACCTTAACTAGTTTGAAAATGAAGCCACACCTTTTAACCAGAGCAGACAAGGAAGTGTTGATGGTGAGGAGAGACATCGTCAACATTGGGGTCAAATGGCTGGTTTTGAGAATTGGAGGATAGAGATAGCCTACGGTAGCATGGGGACAACGATAAGGTGCTTTTGAAGAAGACCATTGCCTTGACGAAAACATGAATAGAACTTGTACCTGTTGGACAGCCGCACCGTTGTGTTGGAGCACGACGACTCAGCATGGTTTGTGTTGGCCGACTCAACCAAAGTCGATTAGTCAAAGTCGCTACCTTTTGAATCCAAGACGGTTAATATTCATTATTTTAGGTTGGGGTGTTCATATCGATCCAATCCAATTGATTCGACCTAAACTGATCCAATCTAATCAAAAATTGATCCAAACTGATATAAAATTGGATTTGTTTAAATTCTAAAATTTTAAAACCGATATAATTGTTTGGTTCGCAATTTTAAATTCAAACCGTCCGAACTGCTCGATTACAAAATAAAATCCGATTAGAAGATAATTTAATTAAATAATATAACATTCTTTTTGTAGTATTTTAAATTTTTTTTTTCTTATTTTATAAGATTATAACTCCATTAACTTAATTAAAAAAATAAAAATAAAATATCTTCATATTCCCTAAGTTAATTATTTCTCCATTTTAATCATGCACTCTAACCTTAATTCTAAATTTCTAATTCACTTGCAACTCTATCATCTCAGAACTGATTTGCGCCTTTACTCTTACAATCCTAAATTTCTAATTTATTCTTAAAATAATCCTATGATTCTCTTAACTAAATTTTAAATAAGTATCATTTTAAAAGCCTTAAAACTATATAATAAAATTAGTCTTAATATTCTACTATTTTTGGATATTTGGTTTAGAAGTTTTAAATTTTGATTATGAATGCTTCTAATCAACTTTAGTAATATTCATGTTAAATGTTATTTATTTTTAACAGAATTTAGAAAATGAGATTAAATTATTAGTGCATTAAGAAAAAAAAACTAATTTTAATCTCCAAGAATTATATACGTTGTGCTAGAAATTTGAAGTTATTTTTTATTGTTTTTGGTGCCTCTAGTGATATAACCAAGAAAAATTTTCAGAATTTTTCAATTTTTACAAATGTAAAGGAGTATAAGAATTTATTTATAATTTTTACCTATTATTATGTTTTTACTAATTTAGATGTTAATTTATTTTATAGTTATGCTTTTTATTTGATGTTAAAATATTTTTACATTATTTTATATATTTAATAATATTAAAAATAGATCAATCCGACCGAACCATACCGATCCAATTTAAATTAAATTGATTTGATTATCACATAATAATAGATTAAATTAGTTTAAAAATTTTATTAACCGATTAAATTAAATTGATTTAAAAAATAATAAAATCCGAACCAAATCACAAACACCTCTAAAATAGATCAATCCGATCGAACCATACCGATCCAATTTAAATTAAATTGATTTGATTATCACATAATAATATATTAAATTAGTTTAAAAATTTTATTAACCGATTAAATTAAATTGATTTAAAAAATAATAAAACCCGAACCCCTCTAATTTTAGAGGTTTGGGAAAAAAAACATTTGTTGGGCTGGGAACTAGTCAGAAGCTCCCCTCCTTGGCACGGCGGGCTTTCATATTTGGAATGGGCTGATAAGGAAGCCATCCACCCAGGCTTGGAGATGAGACCATCTGAGAACTCATTACAGCCCAGGCCCCGAAGGGCAAACGGCGTTTCTCAGAGCATGACTTAAATAGTACTAAAGCCCTACATTGTCAGTCGATGTGGGATTCATTCCCTTTTCACTTTAAAGCCAAATTAATTGATAAATCCCTAAACTTCCTAGGTCATTAATTTTATGGCCCCTTAATTACTACAGTGCTTTTAAAAAAGCCTTATTTTAACAAAAAAACTTAAAATTTTATCGTTAAATACTTTCAAATGTCTAAGAGAATAAGTCCTTAAACTTTCTAAAAAATTAAACTAATGAGTAACAACCCATTTTAAAAGAAAAACAGAAATCTTCTCCTAGCCCTAACCCTGGCCCTCTCCTTACTTCCGCCTAGAGAAATCATGAAACTATTAACACTTTCCAGTTCCCACTCAAGCTCTTGAACCAGAACCAAACTATTTGTTCCATCTAAAATCATCAATTCTTGTTAGCAAATCACCATCTCAGATACTATAATTTTGCATAATTTTCAGTTTACTTCAGTAGTTTTAAGGAAGACTAGACTGTTTGTCTATCCCAAAACAAGCAAGGTTGTGTATAAAGGGCCATCATAATGCAACAGTTAGAAGCAAATAGCATACTCTTGACATACTTCTGGTGGAAAAAATACTTATGAAGATCTATGGGACTTCTAACAAACCACAAAACCATTACAAACTAGTAATTAACATAAAGAGTGGAACAAGCTAAAAAGCTTCA